AAAGGGAGACAGCTCTATGCGGCGCCATGATGGGTCCGGGGAAGTGGATGCTAAATAGCGCGCCTCCTGCTTCATGTCTCCACATGTTCAGGGCCCGGGTATTTGCCGGTAATGGGCATTGAGGTTGGCGAGTTTGCGATGGCCATGCCTCGGTTCATGCTTGTACCTGTGTTGCTTCCCCGCAAGACCCTGTCGCCGCACTCGGCCAATTAGCATCCTCCGACTACTCGCCCTCTACACAACCAAGAAGAGTGGTTTGGACTACTTGACGGATTTTAGGACCTTTCCTGCTGTGCTCATGGTAGCCTTTTGTATCAATTGAACAAAAGACGCCGACCCGCTCTGGCTGCACGCCTCCAATCTTCCAACCCAATCCTCTCACTTTCCTCCTACTCAATCTGACAAGGGGCGTACTCACCCCCCGCTTATTGTATGTTTACCTCAGCATTAGCAATACTACAACGAGACACGCACGTGCCCAGCGACCAATAGCATACTACCTATAGTATCAGAAAGCAGAAAAGAGCTGTCTACTCGTTTCACCCCACCCACCTGTCCCTCCGCGGCTCGACACCACTCGCCACCCATGCCCTCCTTCAAGATAGGAATATTACCCAAAGCCAAATACACTACTGGAAACAGTCATGCAGCTTGCATTTACTAGCAAAATCCCCTGTATATATCTATCATATAACCATGTTGCCTCCATGTCGGGCAGAGAATCCACCAAGTCATCATGTTGGCCTCAATCAACATCGCCACTGCAATCGCAGTGATTACTTCCACGGCCAGCGCTGCGCTCTACTATCCAGATGTCCAGACACATCTCCTTGAGCACATCCTCGTCGACAACTGGGGCGCCTACGCATCCAACTTTTCTTCTGCAATCATGCCCTGTGACCGCTATGTGACGCAGACAGGGAATGCTGCACTGACCAGTGGCCGCACGACGGCAGCCCAGTGGATGCGTGTTCTTTTCCATGACTTCATAACGGCCAATGTGAGCGCAGGTACAGGTGGAGTGGATGCAAGCATTGGGTTTGAGACGGCGAGGGAAGAGAACAAGGGGAGTGCGTTCAACGACAGTTTTACCTTTTGGAGGCCCTATGTCAACGGTGCTGTTTCGAGTATGTATCCAATCTTCGTTTCAATCGTCATGTTTGTTCGTTTGTTTGTTTTTGTTTCTTCTCAGCTAATTAGAGAATCAGTGTCCGATCTAATCGCAATCGGAACCGTCATGTCGAACAATCTATGTGGAGGCAACAACATGCCCTATCGCCCCGGTCGCATTGACGCTCTCTCCGCAGGCTCCACAACAGGCGTCCCAGCGCCAGAAACAAGCCTCGAAGAAACCCTCGTCTTCTTCGAGCGCGCTGGCTTCGAAAAAGTGGAAGATGCCATTGGCCTCACGGCCTGCGGCCATACCATGGGCTCGGTGCATCATGGTGGCTTCCCCGAAGTGGTAGACGAAACATTTGTCACACCAAACAACACCAACGGCGGTAGCAACTTCGACACGACACGCGGTGTCTTTGATCCCAACGTTGTGGGAGAATATGTGCATTGGACGGGCAATAAAGGCGGCCCATTGGTGACTTCGCACAATGAGACTATGAACTCTGACCTTCGGCTCTATGAGAGCGACGGTAACGCTACCATGCGAGCATTGCTTGCACAAGGACCTGCATTCTTAGATACTTGTGTCAAGCTTATGCGCCGCGCCATCGATACCGTGCCATCTCACGTGCAACTCGGCGACGTCGTCACGGCAATCCCCGTCAAGCCGATTAACGTTACGTATGACTACTCCCAGATCGATGGCAAATTGGTGTTTTCGGGTAAGATCAGAGTGCTGACTGCAGCGGGACACGGAAGTCTAAATTCACTTACACTTCGCATGGGTCAGGATGAGACGGACATTGCACTTGTCGCCGAAGCCGAGACTGGGCAGTCTGTTTTTGGTCGCGGTGCTGCTGGATATGGGACCACGACGTATTTCCCTTTCTCGGTATCTGGACCCTCGATCCGGAATGCAACTTCCTTTTCTGTGAGTGGTGCGGGTGTTCAACAACAGTTTTCGATTAGCGACCATATATTCGTGGTGCAGAGTTTGACGGCTCTTGACGGCAAGGCTGTTAATACTACTGTTGCTGTGTCGGCGCCTACTAGCTCTTGCGAGGATATTCATGTGCGTATCGCTGCACCTTTTACACAACCCGGGACATTGGCACCGAAGATTAGCGAGAAGGACATCGTGGTGAGCGCGTTACCCGAGACTCTGGACGGCTATACACTGTGTAGTGGCAATCTTATTCTAGATGATGTGCCAACTGGCCTGCTCACTATAAAAGCACTACAAGGAGGAACCACTGTTGATACACTGTTGGTAGACAGTGGAAAAGCAGGCTGGTAAAAGTCTAAAGAATTGAACTTTATTCGGGGGAGTGTTTTTTTATCACTATCATGTCTGGTACATGTGACCAAGAAGACCAGTACTTACCTTTTGGAGCTGGCCATAGACTCACACCCTGCCCCAACTTGATCTACCTCGTTCACAGCCAGCACATCCCGTACCCGCACTCATAACACCCCGCAACATGATACCAAATGCAGAAAAAAAAGATGCACAAGATCGCGTCTTACACTATTTCCTGCACCTTTATAGGCGATAACACTACACTCAACAGCAAAACAGGTATCCCCTCCCCCCTCCCCTGCCGTATATAAACCCCGTTAGTAACCCGAACCGACTTTTACCCCCAAAATCCTCCCAACTCACCACCCTTGGGAAGAAGGGAAAAAAAAGATGAAATACTCCCTTCTCCATCCCCTGCCAGCCTCCCGTAACAAATCCTCTTCATTATCTCAAATCCGTTTGTAAAGATCAGAACTGGGACAAGCGGGCATCGATATCGGCTTCCCGTACAACATGGAAAAAAAAGAAGAAGAAGAAGAAGTGCTGTTATGAAGGAAATACGAGGTACTGTATCTAGAATGTTCGTTACGTGGTGAGCTAATCACTTCGAGGACTGACTGTGCTGAGAGATTCTTCAGTGCATCAGTGTTACTCGTGGTTGTTGTGAAGGATTAGTAGTGCTGTGCATTTTTGGGGGGTTATGCTTTGATGGCAACTTCCACAAACGAAAGAAAAGGTGCGGGAATTAAGGGGAGGGAATGGTATGATGGTAGTGTGAATAGTGGTATTAAGTATAAAAAATGCATGTAAAATGCCCATCCCTGTTATTGTGATTCATTTACTTAGATCTACTTCGAAATGGTGTAGATGCTGCACCATGACTCTCTGTCTCTCTCCTCTTTTAGTTATAAAATTAGAATAAGAAGAACAAGGACACAGAGGGATCTTGGAAAGTCTTTCAAACGCAGATACGTTATTTTAAAACTTGGCCTAACCAACCAACTCCCGCGTTTTTTGTACTGGGTTAGACAAAATACCAGGTATTTTTTACACTGAAGTAATAGGGGCAACTCAAAAATACCGGAATGATAAAATAAACCCTTCCTTTCTGTTTTCCCCTTTAATTCAATCCACCAGTGTCCAAAAGACAATGCATAATAATGGTAGCAACAACAACAACAGCCTGACGAATTGTCGTCTTCCTATCTCTCAACATTTAGCAAAACTCACTTCTTCTTATGACCCGCCTAGCGTTTCTGTTTAGCTCTCGTGTTACGCTCCTCTAGCACGTCTTGAAGAATATCACGAACGGCATGCGCTATCCGATCCATATCACCGTCACTCATAGGGCGGCAGTTGCGAGCAATAAGATCCGCGAATGACATCTTGGGCGCCTTGCGGGCCGAATCTGTAGGCGTAGCAAGTGCAGACTGTGGAGAAGAAGACAAAGGAACAGCATGAGAGACTGACATTTGCTATTAGCGTTTGACTCCATTTATTTGCCCATTGACCTGTTTGTGTCCATTGACTTTACCCTGCGTGCCTGGCTGCGGTGGAGGCGGCGGTGGCACGGGTCCAAAGGGTCGACGTTCAGGTGCAGGCTCAACGCCGTCTTCCTCGGTGTCGTCGTCGTACTCTGCGCTATCTTCATCTTCATACTCGTACTCACTCTCCGTCACCTCTTCGTCTTCCTCTTCGTGCTCCTCGTGCTCCAGCTCGTGCATGGGTACTTGCCCGCGACCCTGTGCTTGCATGCCGCGGCACAATGTCTCTAATCGGGCAATCTTCTTGCGCTGCTCCTCAGCCTCCCTTGTCTTCTTGGCAAGCTCCTCCTGCATCTTTTGGCGCTCCTCGACCATTTCGCCAATATTTCGATTGGTGATGTCTTTGTGGCGCTGCAGATTTTGGTTCTCCTTTTCGAGGCGCTTCGTCTTCTTGGACATTTCTTCCATTTCTTTGCGAAACGTGAGAAAGAGGTCGTTGGAGTTGTTGAGGGTTTCCTCAACCTGCATCTGGTCAGTATTAACCATGATGATACAGACCAGCTAGGGGTGGAAGACTAGACATACCTGTTTGAACTTTTCGACATAAATGTTGAGCTGGGTACGGAGTTCGGTTTCGGTTTGTGAGAAGGTCGAGACCTGGCGGGTCAATTGATGCGACTTTGACGATTCGGCTTCTTGCTGCTTGCGCTGCTGCTCGAGGCGGGCAGAATGATACTGTATCTCCAGCTCCTTGAGCCGAAGCATAGAATGGTACTGCAGCTCGCGCAATTCGTATTGGTCGATGAATGACTTGAATTTTTGGCGGAATCTAAACATCTTAGCCAATGCAACACACATGCGGATTCCAGACTTACAGCTCGTCCAACTCTTGCTCGGCTTGATTCTGTGGCTCTGGCCCATTCGCAGCGGCTATACAATCGTCGACGTCGTTGACAAGATGCTCGAGGCGCTCGTGAAGTTCCTGGCGGGCGGCCGACTCGCTGGTCTCGAGCTTGTGCAGTTCATCCTTTAACTTCTTGTTCTCTTTTGCAAAGTCACGCGACAGCTTGTCGAGCTTGTCCTTCATAGTGGTGACCTTGTTAAGCTCCGAGCGCTGGGCGTCCTTTTCCTTTTGCAGCTGGTCGCCGCGCTTCTTTGCCTTTTGGTGTTCGCGCTCGGTGCGCTTCATGTCGGACAGCAACTCGGTGTATCGCTTCTGGACGACCTCGAGGCGAGAGAGGGGGCCGTCCATGTTGGAGAGGAGCGAGGAGAGTTCGCGGTTTGCTTTCTTGACTTCGCGTTCTGTCCATGCCGTGGTCAGCCAGCGATTTATTTTTACATGAGAGGGCCGTGGGCCGTGGTGATGGCGATGGAATTGCACATGTGGTGTACGCCACCTCGAGCATCCCCGCCCCCACCACTTGCACGGCCAGACATTGACGCACCAATTTCCAGTTCCTGCTCCTTGTCGCCTGCCTGGTCGAGTTCGAGTTGAGCAATCTTGGCCTGGATCTGCTTCTGCTGCTCCGAGGGATCGGCGGCCTTCTTGCCCTTTGCCTTCTTAGCAGGCGCTGGCGCAGGCGCCGGATTGTGCTGTGCGGGCGCCATGGCGGCAGGTGAGGGCGATGTGGTGGTACGGGAAGAGTCGTGCGGTAGTCGAGATGAGTGAGCAGATGTGGGCTGGCCGTGTTGGGCGACGGTGGCCATGAAGCCGTGGCTGGTGGATCCCGTGGTGGTGGCCTGTGACGAAGCCGCTGCCTATGCCACCATGCCCATGTACAGGAGGCGTCGGAAGAGCGAGGTCTACGCAGCGGGGGTGCGCGTCCGCTGTGCAGTGCAGCGGCAGCAACAGCAGCAGCGGCAGCCGAGTAACAATGCGCGCGGAGAGGATGTGGCCGTGTCTCCGCCGACGTCTCGGAACAGCGTGGTGCACAGGGCGAGAGGGCAAGCAGAAGCAGATGTCGCAGTCAGTCCGGGCAGTCCAGTCGGGTCGGGCGAGAGGATGGACGGGGTGGGGGGAGGCAGCAGGCCGTAGTGTCGTCGACGTTGGGCGGGCACCACGCAGGCCTTTTGTCGTCGGAGTAGGAGTGAATGTACGTAGTAGTACTTCGCACCGTCTCCACCACGCCCACGAGCTTCAATATCGACCAGGAGCACATGGGCCAGCGCCCGCTCCAGCCAATCCACTGCCCATTCAGGCACCCTCTGCGCCGCTGTGATTTTGCAGCCTAGCCGTGTTGGGTACAGGGCGCACTCGGCCAATCGGCGACACAGGCGTCATTGCTGGGCTGCTCAGCATTTCTGTCCCGCCTTCGTATGTACAGTACGCTCACATTATATGCACGCTCTAGGCACGAGGCATTGCGACGCCTATTCACCCATCCGCACCCGGCCCACGACCGAATATGCTGCGCTCTGCTGGGCGGCAATTCCCGCCTAGGCTGCCGGCCACTGCGCGACGACACTATGCCGCTGTCGCCAACGCCACCGGCCTGCCCACTGTCGGCCAACAGCTCCATGGCTTCACCCTCAAGCGCGTCAAGCAGGTGCCCGAGCTCGAACTGACGGCCCTTCACCTTCAACACGACAAGACGGGCGCCGAATACCTGCACATTGCCCGCGAGGACACCAACAATGTCTTCTCCATCGGCTTCAAGACCAACCCGCCAGATGCCACCGGCGTGCCGCACATCCTTGAACATACCACGCTGTGTGGCAGCGAGAGGTGAGGAAACTCTCAGGGACCTCTACGAATCACAAACTGACGGCCCAGGTACCCCATCCGCGACCCCTTCTTCAAGATGCTGCCCCGCTCCCTGTCCAACTTCATGAACGCATGGACCTTTGCCGACCACACTGGCTATCCCTTCGCCACGACCAATGCCCAAGACTTCAGGAACCTCATGTCCGTATACCTCGATGCGACCCTGCATCCACTTCTCAAGGAGAACGATTTCACTCAAGAAGGCTGGCGCCTGGGGCCCGAGAACCCACTGGCCAAGGAATCCGACGACCCAAACGCAAAGCGCATCGTCTTCAAGGGCGTCGTCTACAACGAGATGAAAGGACAAATGTCGGACGCAAGCTACCTGTTCTATACCAAATTTCAGGAGCATCTCTATCCTGCCATTAACAACTCCGGAGGCGACCCACAGAAGATCACCGACCTTACCTGGGAGCAGTTGCGCAAGTTTCACGCCGACCACTACCACCCCAGCAACGCCAAGATTCTCACATACGGTGACATGCCATTGGAAGAGCACTTGAAAGAGGTGGACAGCCGCTTGAGCAGCTTTGACAAAATTGCCGTTGACCAAGAAGTCAAGGCGCCAATTACTCTTGACGCCCCCAAGCACGTCACCGTTCCCGGCCCTCTGGATCCGCTTGTACCTCAAGACAGGCAGTACAAGACCTCGGTCACTTGGCTGATGGGTGGCACTGCCGATGCTGTCGAGAACTTTGCGCTTGGTGTCTTGAGCAGCCTGCTCATGAGTGGATACGGATCGCCCCTATATCGTAATCTTGTTGAATCCGGACTGGGTGCCGACTTTAGTGCAAACACGGGCTACGATAGCGCAGGGCGACGGGGAGTCTTTTCGATAGGGTTGGATGCAGTCAAGGCAGATGATGTACCCAAGGTTCGCCAAGTCATTGCAGAAACCCTGTTTGAAGCTCAGAGGAATGGCTTCGACAAGATCAAAGTGGATGGTATCCTACATCAGCTTGAGCTCTCACTGAAGCACAAGACAGCAAACTTCGGCATGGGCATCCTCCAGCGACTCAAGCCAGGTTGGTTCAACGGCATCGACCCAATCAAGGCTCTTGCATGGCAAGAAACCGTCGACGCCTTCCAGAAGAAGTACGCTGAGGGAGGCTATCTGGAGAGCCTGATTGAAAAGTATCTCCTCACCGACAACACCCTGACATTCACCATGCAGCCTTCCGAGACATTCAGCCAAGAGCTTGTAGACGAGGAGAGTCAACGACTAGCAACCAAGATTGCAGAGACTACCAAGCAGTTTTCTAGTGAGCAGGAGGCACAAAAATATCTAGAAGACCGGGAGCTTCAGCTGCTACAGGTTCAAGAAGAGGCCAGGAATGAAGACCTAAGCTGTTTGCCTTCTGTGCATGTCAAAGATATCCCACGAGAAAAGGAGCGGAAACCATTGCGCCACACCGACTTGGATGGTGTAAAGGTTCAATGGCGCGAGGCTCCTACAAACGGTCTGACATATTTCCGTGCAGTGCACAAGCTCCAAGACCTCCCAGACGAGTTACGGGAGATGATTCCGCTCTTCACAAGTGCTATTATGCGCCTTGGTACCAAGGACAAGACAATGGAGCAGCTCGAGGAACAGATCAAACTCAAGACGGGCGGTATCACTGTCGGCTACCACTCGTCTCAATCACCACTGTCACTCGATGCCTACGAGGAGGGCATGGCTTTCTCTGGCTACGCCTTTGATCGCAACATCCCCGACATGTACGAGCTTCTTCGAACAATCATTCAAGAGACGGACTTTGACGGCCCTGAAGCTGAGAAGAAGATCCGGGAGCTATTACAGAGTGCAGCAAGTGGCGCAATCAGTTCCATTGCTGAGTCTGGTCATTCTTATGCCATGCGATTTGCCGAGGCTGGTATAACTCCTGTAGGGCGTCTGGCGGAAGAGACAGGAGGTCTTACTCAGATCAAGCTCATGACTGCACTGGCGTCGCAAGAGTCGCTCAGTGATGTCATTCAGAAGCTCAAGGCTATTCAGTCCTTCACCATCGCAAACAGCAACCAACTCCGCGTTGCGCTCAACTGTGGGAGTGAGAGTTCAACACCCAACCAAGAAGCGCTCAGCCGGTTCTTAAGCACCCTACCAAAGAACGTGTCAGTCCCAAAGACGTCACAACAGAAGCAATACCCTCGCAACGCAAAATCATTCTTTCCCCTGCCTTATCAAGTCTATTACTCGGCTCGCACTGTCCCCACTGTGCCCTACACCCACGCCTCTAGCGCGCCTCTCGAGATTCTTTCGAAAATGCTCACCTTCAAGCAATTGCATCCTGAGATTCGTGAGAAGGGTGGTGCCTACGGAGGTGGTGCCTACGCCCGCGGTCTCGGTGGTCTTTTCGGCATGTACTCATACCGCGACCCCAACCCGCAAAACAGCATGAAGATCATGGCTGAGGCCGGACAATGGGCGCGCGATCGCGCATGGACAGCTCAAGATCTCGAAGAAGCCAAGCTCAGCGCCTTCCAGGGCCACGACGCCCCACAGAGCGTCAGCCGTGAAGGCATGCGCGAGTTCCTCTCCGGCGTCACGGACGACATGCTGCAAACGCGGCGCGAGCGTCTCCTCGATGTCACAGCCGAGCAGGTACAAGCCGTCGCTGATGAATTCCTTGTCCAGCGCGCCCAAGAAAGCAGCATTGCTATCCTTGGTGAGCGAAAAGACTGGGTCAAGGAATCCGATGGCTGGCAGTTTAGAGACATGGGTATGTCAGATGCTGCCAAAGCAGTAGAGGAGGCAGAAGGTATTCCACAAAAGGACGATGGCGTCCCGGCTATCGCTAGCTAAAAGCCTACCTCCATCGCTTTTTACGCCCTTTTTATGACGATTTGTATAGTAGAAATGTAAGATTATGTAAAGGAAGAAAAATTAGCATTACTGGCGTTGAGCCTTTCGGGTAGGTAGAATGCATAGCGCTGGTTATGAGTTCCCTTTCTTAAAAAATATTCTGCTCTCTCTTTCTCTACATACGTCGTTGTTCTCCTTCGCACGGACCCCTCAAATTCCCCAAGTTACTTACTCCCCTTTCCTTATTCTGTTCTCCTTCTTTCTCCACACAAAATCACAGCGCAACGAACAGATTCTTCACAGACGACCATGCATTTTTTTTCGCCTCCATGGCTGGTCGGTTCTGTCTTTCCTCCTCCTCTCTCTCCCTCTTTCTTATCTTGTATAAGAGAGGGGAGGTGATGGAAATGCGCGAGAAAAATCCATCGGTTTCTTTCTGAATCCCAAACTATCCAGTCTTTCATCAGGCACGGTGGAGGGACTCGGGAAGATTGGGGACGAAGAAACGAGATGGGGCACCTGCTTTCAGACCTACCTGATTTCAGAGTGAGACTCTTCTCCTGGTAGACTAAATGTGGGGGTACATTTATTATCGTTTGATATCATGATGATTCGCTGTGTCTCTATGTACATATCCTACAATTCGATTTGATCCTGAGCACTAGCATCGCCACGCATCTCGCTAGCCTTGATGATCAACCGACGGTAATCAAGCACAGCTTGCTCGAGCTCCTTGCGCTTCAGCGCTTCGTGATCTGAATGCGCGACGAAGATAGAACCGGGACCGTATAGATATCTCTTGTGGTCGCCGGAGAGAAACGGCACGTCGGTACCGTAATTCACCGTGAGAGTGTCGAAGCCATCGACATCGCAATCGATGTCTACGACGCCGTAGCCCTCGTTGCCCCAGATGATGTCTAGATCGCCGCCTTGCTCTTGCGCCGCTGCTTTAACGCCTTGAAGCGTGTCGACGATTTGTTCGCGAACGAGCTTGGGCGTGCCGGCCGCAAGTCGCGTCGCGATGTTCGCAGCTGCGGTTTCGGCAACCACGTTTGCGGCGACACCGCCCTGGACGCGCCCGAAATTCATAGTCGTGTTTCCGTACTTTTCGCTCCAGGGGAGATGTTGTCGTAGCTTGAGCAGTTCACCTAGTGCCTCGACTAGGATATCGTTTGCGCTCACGCCTAACCACGGGTACCCGGAGTGCGCTGCTTTTCCTGTAGCCTTGACTTCGAAACCTAACATGCCCTTGTGTCCACACACTAGCTTAGCTTCTGTCGGCTCCCCGAAGATGACGATTTCGTGAGATGAGGGTCGTTTGGACCAGTCGCTGAATGCGCGCATGCCATCACCACCTGTTTCCTCGCCGACGACAAATAGCAGCGAAATGTCATCGTACAAATGCTTTCGTATGCCCTCTGCAGCTATAATGATCGGCGCAACACTTCCTTTTGCATCCACGCTGCCGCGGCCCCCAATCACGCCGCTCGTCTCGTTGTAGTAATAGGGCCAATAAGGCGGCACCACATCGATGTGCGAAGTCAGGAGGATGGTGGTTTCTCGTTTGGAGCCGTAGGCAAGCAGGTTGTACCGGCCGGGTGAGACTTCTTGTCGCTCGACCGTCCAGCTGTGCGACTGTAGGTAGGAAGAGAGCCAGTCGCCGACTTTCTTTTCATTACCGCTTATCGATTCGACTTCTATAAGGTGGCGGTGGAGGGAGAGGAGTGACTCGGATTCGGAGGCTGTAAGGGCTTGGAATTCGGAGGCGGAAAGGAGCGTGGAGGCGGCTTGGGGTGGGGTGGCTGTGAAGGCGCTAAGCGCTAGTGTACAGAAAGTGAGGGCCCGGAGGATCATTTTGGGCGTTGTGTGAGACTGTTGATGCCTCAATTACGAGTTTGTGGTAGAGGTTGAGAGCTTGGGGAGAGCTTGGTGCTTGCGAGAGCTTAGCCGGTGATGACGATCGTGACGCTAAACCACCTTGTTGCATACCAGCCTCTCCATCTTGCATGCAGCATAACGTACTCAAACCAGCACTTGGACGTCAATATATAAGCCCTTCTTTGAATTCTGATAAATTGATGCAATAGGGTATGCTAGATGGCTGGATAAAACTCATGATGACGGTTAGCCTCACATTTCATTGCCGGTCAACTGAAAAGCGCTTATGCGTTGTCGCAGCTAATCCACCTATGATTCGCATATTACCTGAGAGCTGCGCCTCGTGAATGCCCAAGGTTGATACCAGGGCGCATAGAGCGAGGCTGTGACACTCAATGTTGCTGTATTGATCTAATAGCCGCGCGGTTGACTATGAGGCCGAAACAGACACTGTCATGGATCGGGATCCTCCTCAAAAACGATAGATATAATCTTGAGGAGGCTGTTTTGTGTTACATACGATTTCTCTCCTCGCACATCGAAACCAATAGCTGCTGCGCTCTGCTTCTGATCGCTTTTACACTTTGTCACCTGGATTTTTTGTTTCCGTCCCGCGTTCGGCGTGTCAGACACTGTTCATATGAGGCAATCATCGAGAAGGTCCGTCATGGTGGTGAAGAAAATTCGAAAGACAGCGTCGCATAGTCGCAATGGTAAACATTGGGACCGGATCTTTTCTAAACCACGAGTCTGCGATGATCATCCTGTTCATCAAGATCGGTCAGATATTAATCAAACAAACGACACAGAATCGGAGCCCTTGGGTGGAAACAACGAAGTATCCGAGCGGGAATTAATTACCAAGCTTCTCGGGAGCTTTGAAGTATCCAATGTTTCGTGGGAAGCTAAAGTTCTTACTAAGTTTCTTTCGCAGCAGGTCGATGAAGTATTGATGGTCCAAGACGGTAAACCATGGGCATGGATAGATGATCGAGAGATATATGCTGGGCGTTGTCGGGATTACCAAGGAAGCTTCGATGCGAAGGAACTGCGCGAGAAATTGGAGCAGCCGGTTCGTTGTGTATGACACTTTGTCACAACAAATCTAATTGAAGGCAGCGCTTTGGTCATCCGACTCTTCGAGATGTCGATCAGCGTATGATGTATTTTGTGACTTTCTATCCACCATAAAAATGTCGACGTACTTCGCTGACAACACGGTAGATACATTTCTAAACTGACACCAAGTTTTGTCTGTGCCTTGGCTAAGACAGGTTGGCATCACCAGATGAAGGCATTACGTGATGCAATATGGAAGCACATTGCTCTGGAAACATCCATACGCGTACACATACCGGTATGTCTTGTCTGAAATACATGTATTGTACCAGCGACAACTCACGAAGCAACAGACACTAGGCTTTATGACATATCAACTAGAATTTCACATGGCACATCTACTTCTAAGGCCATCAAATCAGAATGGAAGCTCGGTTACGGATGACTCGATAGTAGACCTCTCATTTCTCGAACTAGCCAATGCCGACGGACAAATCGTTCCCCACTCGTTACATCGGGGGCATATGACTCTGGTGATCTGTGGTTGGAGTGATCTCCAGTGGACAGGGTATGTTTTTACTCAGGTTGACAACGATGACCTGGATATCGAGGAAATCGACGAATTCAAAGGACACTTCTTAACATCCGAGTATGGCTTCGACTTGACCACCCCTTCACAGTCCATCACAGTCCGGGATGCAAGGAGATACTGGCTACGTTTGGTGGCGCATCGTATCCAGTATGTGTTGCAAAAATGGCTTTATCTTGTGCGAACGATTGAAGAAGGCGTAGAGAGATGGGTACGCTCCTCTCTCCACATGCTCATCCGCCAACTAACACATTACAGAAATCACAAGACCGTTGTAATAGTGGTGTCACTCGCGAAGCCGTGACTGCTGACGACATTAAAAAATCTCTGGACAAGACCATACAAACAATGCAGCTTCTGCGCCAGCTCCGTGACACGCTTTCAGCCACGCTCCGAGCGTACCACTATTTCAGCCAACCACACGGCGATATGTGCTACTTCTCAGATATCACTGACTGTTTTTCTGTACAGAGTAGCATTGTCGAGTCGTTTGAGAAACTCACGGATCTTTCGACTAGACTTTGTTCACTCGATGACTCTTGCAAGCGCTTTGCAACGCATGTACGTGAAGAGCACTATGGACAGAGCTTTTTTACTAATCACGATGTTAGTTGGGGCGTATACTTAAACTCGAAAACAACCGCTCGATAATACAAAGCAATCGATTCAATCAAGAGAGCAACATGTACCAACAGGCTAGCCACCAGCTGAACGAGCGTGTGCATAAACTAAACGAAGAAACATGCATACTCAGCAAGGATATGCGCAGACTTAACGAAAGAAGCACAGAAGCAGCATGTGCCAATCAAGAAGAAGCTATCAAAACCAGTCGCAGCACACGAGTGAATGTCGAGGCATGTGACACCATCACCGTCATACCCGCTATGCTGACACATACTAGTTACTACTACTCACCACCCCTCTTGGCATGGTGCTTCAGTACTTTAGCTCTGAACAGGAAGTTTTGTTCTTTAAAAGGAGCCCCACAACATTTGTTCTCGCGACGCTTGTTTTGATGTTGCTCCTTCGTTTGCTGGCGTTAGTGCTTCAGTACGGAGGTACCTTACTGCGCTTCCTTTATCGAAAGCCGTCCGCCGACCCGATGAATTCCCAGCCGCTGGCCCAGAATTCGAGTGAGTAAAGAGTCACGTATTCTGCGAACACATTTGACATGACTAGATACCATCGAGCTGGAACAGGCACAGAATGTATGACAATTCGGCCAGGGCACTTTGTCAAACGGAGTACTCTGTGCGCTCTCATCTCTCATTCGGGTAGACGCGGCGAAAAACACGGCACGGTGCAGGTTTCGAGATTAACCATTCTTCTTCTGTATAAGTACCAGCGGCCGCCCGCCAAAAGCTCGGGTAACCAATCCCTGCGCATGCACCATTTATGAGCTACCGTTATAAAAGTTGGTCTATAGTGTACGATGTGTGACAATTCATAGTTTGCTCTTCTTCAAGCATAGCTGAACTCTCCAGATCGTGTTGTCTTGTTATGTAATGATGAGTTAAGCTTCTATGGATGGGATGAAAGATGACGAGTAGACGAGAAAAGGAAAGTGAAGCAAAAAGGTTTTTCCGAAGGCCACAGCTCATATGGGATTTCCACCAAAAAGCCTGACACCAAGAATATAACACTGGGGCTGTTGACACAAAGGCCAGCATGGGGATGGTGGCACACGGTGGACAGAAATATGGACACTCAATATGGATTGTACTATACAGTCGACAACATCGTTCACCCGCGCCTTTCAGTATTTTAAAATGCTACTAGCTTTCTGGAGTTCGATTGACCTTAGTTGAGTGGTGGACTGTGTAGAGTATCCATGTTTTTGTCCACCGGGTGGGTGACGTGTGCAACACTTGTGTCATAAAAGCAAATTGACAAAGAAATCTAGAAGGGGGGGAAGGTCTCCCCTGATCTCAATTGTCCGCTGCGGACAATGCTGATTTCTTATATAAGTTGATGATTCTATTTTCATTGCTCTTCCCGTGGTGAATTCAATCAACCTTGCGTTTTGCAGGTACATCAAATACCAGAGTGATCGTGTATTGTAGTGTTAGAGCCTTGGATTAAAAGAGCTTAAACTACTACCATGACATTTCACCCCAATCCGCAAACCCCTCATCCCTGCGCGACTAGTACGGAGGGGATAATCTCTTCGTCTCAGTCATGTTTGCCAATGCCGCCGCCCCCGGCAGCGCGTGTGAGAATGGCTGGAAAGAAGAAACATACCTTCGTATGGCAGTGTGCAAGTACAGAATAGTATCTTGTAAGTTATATAGACTAACAGTTATGCAGTGCTCTTGTGGTACTGTTTCCATACCCTACAGGAGCAATTCTTGCCCTTCTTGTGGTTACGCTCGATGTGGCAATTGCCACATTACAAAAGTCCAGCAAAGATAGCATGGTTTCTCGCCGTCAACATAAAAGCTACCAAAATACGCACCGGGCCTAGCTTCCAACCATCGAGTCCAGGACAGACATACCAACCCGAAACCTAGCTATCACATAATCTCTCAAACAAAAGATATTATAATATTTTTATTCTTCTCTTCTTTCTGCATTACTATGCACCTGACCAGTCATGGCCAATTTGTTATTTAATTTACTGATTGCGCTGAACAAGAGAGTATATCTATGAACTTAGAATAGATAAAAGCGTTTGACAAAGGTTTTGTTGATACTAAAATCTGAGAAGTAGTTAGGGTGTTCTGAGGATGATGGACCATGTTTAGGCAAATGAATAAAGATAACGGAGCTAATCACGTGATAACGTGTCTGTGCACCTCGTGCACGGATTCATCTCGTGCACGCTGAACACCATCTCAGCGATCTCAAAAATGAGGCTTTACAACGCCACATA